TTTTATATATTTTTGTCTCTGTCCGTCTTGCCACATGCCATTATCTCTTTCTTTGTCTATCTTCTAGTACAAATATTAACTTTAGAGAGAGATGGAGAGAAGAAAGATGGGGCAGAACTATATATACATATGTCCTGCCTCGCTTCCTCTCCATCTCTGTCAAACTTTATACATTACAGAATCATCATATGTCAGTCGCTTTTTCTTTAATTAATCTAATGACTGAACTCTATATGTCTATAACTTTTTCTACAACTTATTTTTCTTTGTTTATGTTGAAACATTCCCTATAAAAAACAATTGAATGCACTCTTTGTGTGGTAAATAAAATAATGAAATATTTTCTCATTGAAATTAAGACAAAAAGCTTATGAACAAAGCGGATATTAATAAATTTAAATGAATTTCACATATTTTCATATTTCCATTTTCCATTTTCCGTTTTCATAAATCTGCTCCTCATTCGAGTAAAATTCATAAAAATATCTTAGAGTATTTTAGTTGCGCTTTGTTTGAGTTTTGGCATTTGCATTTTGTTTACTTTTTCTAGCAGCTTTTTATTTTTAATTTTTTTTTTTTTTTTTTTGCATTGGCCGTTCGTCTATTTCGAGCAAAAGATTTCTTGGCAGCGTTTGTTGGGCTGGTTTCTTTTCTTTTCATTTCTTTCTGTGGCCCAGCTGTTAGCCGGCTGTTGGCTGTTTGTTTTCTCTTCGAATCCGAATCTGAATTGAGTTTTACCTTTGGCTGCACAGCAATTTGTCTAGAGCCTGGGCTAATAAATTTGTCCTGCGCAGACAAACGTGGCCCGAACAATTTGTTGATAGAGAATTTTAAGGCCTGATTGCCTGATTTTTCGCATTCGAATTGAGTTTGGTTGGGGAAAAGTGAAAAGTCTCCAGTCTCGAGTCTCGGGTCTCGCGTCTGTCTGACAAAGTGCAAATCATGGTGCTCACAATTTTCACACGTCTGAAAAGAAATGGATCCAATGCATCCATGACAGACTTTTAGTTTGTGTAAACAAATACATGACCCGCAGCTAATGCGGGGGCAGGCACCGCTGCAGAGGCAGAGCCAGATGCAGATGCAAAGGGGAGCAGAGATAGCGACACTTCCACTTTCACTAATTGACAATTCTGTAGCTCAATCGGAAAAACAAAAAACCGCAGACAAACAACTTGGAACGTGCTTTCAATGGAACAACACGCACTACAACTGCAAACATAGATATATAGATAAAAGAGAGCAATAGAAAGGCAGTGAGTGTGTGAGAGAGAGACGGAAAGAGCTGCACTTGACGCCCCCACAAAAAACAAACTGGGTTAAGCGGCGGCCTTATCGATATGCGTATGTCGTTTAAAAGATTACAAACAAATTGAGCGTGTAGTGATCAATGGGGCCTACTCTATGCAGTGATCCTAACTCATAGATAGGGTAAAAGAAGTATTTCAAAATTAAAATTATAATTACAATAAATGTTTATTTGCAATAAGTCTGAACTCTAATTTAAGTATTACAAAAGAACTCAACAAACTAAACAAAATAAAGAAAAATATTAATTTAAGAAAATAAAAATAAATAAAAATAAATAAAAAAAACTTAAAAAAAAAAACAAATAAAAAATAAAAATAAAAAATACAAATTAAAAAATAATACAAATAAAAATATTTTGATTTCAATAAAATTGCGTTTCTTTATAAAAGAACATCTCTGTGAATGTCTTCATCAAAAGTCATCTTCATCAACTGTTCTATCATATCTTTAAGACATTTAACGAATTTGTCTATATGTTATATATATCTCTATATATTATAGATTATATCATATAATAGCTGCAATATTTGAGCGATATATTATGTATGTATTCTATTGAAGACACACATCGTAATCCACAGCTTCAAATACATCAGATTGAATTGGAAGAGCTGGAGCCCAGCCTGTGATTGAGTGTATGACAAGTTCACTTAATCACAGACAGGAGAAACATTCCTCTATAACATATATATACACACACATGTGTGTGATCGCTGGTGCCGAACTTGAAGCTAAAGTTGATGCTGCTGCTGATGCAAGCGTGACTAATGCATGAGCGCATGTCAAACAATTAGGGGAAACACATTAATCAAAATGTTAATCGGCGATCGTATAAAACGCCCAATAAACATACGCGATATGTCAGAAATGAATATAGATAAGAACAAAATTAAATGTATAAGAATATAAAAATAAAGACGAGTGCAGCCAATCATAATAAAATGAGGAGTAGACGGCTTCATGCTGGAGCTCTGCTGAAAAGAGACCAGACAAATGCGAAACAAAATGTGTCTAGAAAAGGTTGAGTTGTGGCAGGTAGTAGCCGAGGGAGTGCAGCCGAAGGGGCTACGAGTAAACTAAATTATTGGCGACGCATGCAAAATTTCCGATCGTGGGCGAGCCAAAGAGAAGGCGGCAGGGGAGAGTTATGTCATAGTATTCCCTGTCTTTGTTGTACATGTATTCAAGTAGCATCGAAGACGAAATACCCTTGCGAGCACTAACTTTCTACTACATCACTGTATTATTCTATTCTATTCTACTACTACTCTATGAGAGCTCTACTAGCTTACTACTGTTGTAGCATAATATTACTACTATTACTCTACTACTATGCCACTGCTACGTGCGTTACATATTCCTCAACAAAATCCATAAACCTTAGGCAAACGTACACAAAAGCCGCGCAGACTGAACGCATTTTTTGTTGATTGCCTTTAGCTTGACGCAAATGTCACGCCCACAACAAATGGGAAGGCAGAGTAAGGGGTGCAGTCAATGTGGCGCAACAAAGTGTCAGAATTTTGTGGCTTGGAGAATTTTGCGAGAAAAGGGTTTCCAGACAGATTGACTGGTAGCGTTGAGAGCTGTTGTCCATCAGCTTCCACTGAGCAAAGCTGCAGAGCTGACAGACATTCAAACACACACGCACGCACACACACACAAATGCAGACTCGCGGATCGTCTGCCTTACAGCCACTTGACAAGATCATTAATAAGATTTATGCGCTATTAGCCAAAGCAGCCAAAGGCCATAAATAAAATACGAGCAGAACTGGACGAGCAGCCGACTTCTCGGCGTAGATATCTGCTGCTGAATGAGGCGACAACAAACCCGTTGACAGACGCACGCCCCACTAACTGCCCCCATCTGGTGGCAAGCAACTCCAACCACTGAGCCAAATCAATGACACCTAATATGCATAGAAGCTTCTCCACTGCCACAAGAGTGCCCTAAGTTTTTTTTCACTGTGTATAATTACAAATATAAATATATCATAATATATATATATATATATATATATATGTATATAGATATATGAACTTTTCTGTAGCCATAAACTGGGCCTGCGACTGTTCAAGCGAATCGCCAGCTTATCTTTGATATTTGTAATTAGCCTTTTAATGTGAATTTAATAGGCACAGAATCTCAGTCAGAAATAGCTGCATGCATTTTTCTTAGACACATTTATTTATGTATATATATATATAAATGGTATATGCTATTTATATAACTGATAAGCGAAAAAATACCATTTTCATCAAGTTCAGAGACTGACAAAGCTGAAGATGCTCGTTAATGAGACTAGCCACAGTTGTAGAATGTCAATTAAATAATTCAGTATGAAAAATAATGGAGTGCAATGTTGTTTTTGTTGTTGTTGTTGTCGTAACCTACCCCACATCAGCTTATCAGCACAAATATGAAGCAGCAATGCGTGCGACAGGCTGTGTGTCTGCATATTTGCATAGCAAAATGCTTGAAAGTCGTCCAAATAAATCACTTTAAGTGTCGCCTTTAGATAAAGACTGTTGCGTGCACTTTTATTAGGTGAACTCGCACACAGAGACACGAGACAGCGGCTGCGAGGGCGACTGGGAGGGGGAGCGACGTATTTAGATGAGATCAGCATATCAATAATAACTATAAATAAATATGATACGCTTTTTAAGTCATGCGCGGCATTTGACGTCGATTCTGCATTTGCATTCAACTAAAAGAACAAAAGCAGAGCAACGCCAAGCCGCCAATTAACTGATCAAATGAATCATGCAGGCAGACCGACAGGCTGGAAGACAACTGCAAGCGTGTAATACATTCCGATTAAAGCTGCACATTTGGCGCAAACTGGGTATTTACATACAATTAATAAGCAGCAAACGCAGTCGAAATTAAAGCAGCGCTAAGGCGAAAAATGAGTCACAAATACGCACAGAAACAGAGACAAGAATCCCGCAAGTCCTAAGTTCCATTAAAAAGCTGAACATTTCAGCATTTGCATACTCTAAATAAGTTCGTAAAAAGAGAAACAACAGTCGACTCGAAAAGAGAGCAGTACAAAGCCACAGTAGCCATAATTTATAATGAATCACGCACGCAGACAAAAGAGGGAGAGAGAGAGTGAGAGCGAGGGAGAGTTGTGTCCTCCGATGCAACACTCTCAGCGTCGCACGCATGCTGAGCAAACACAAGCATGCTTGCGCATATACACTGTCCCACTGATCGCGTATAAGAGAGCCACCGGCAAAAGAGAGAGAGACAGAAGAGAGAGCTTTGTGAAAATGCTCGCTAGTACGGCGGCTTCAGCTGCTGCCTTCACATAGAAAAGAACCGGTGGCATGTTCACATCGCGTCGACGCGCGTGTCTCCAAGCAAGTAGCAAAAAGAAAAGATTTTCGACAAATTAATAAAGTTCAATAAAAATAAGTGAATTATTTTATACAAAATTATTTAATCAAGTGCGCGCAAGTCAAGTGAAAAAGTGATGTCATCAAATAAATAATGTTTATTGAAAAAATTTAACAGCTCTCGTAATAGAAATACCTAAAACCCCATAATAATGAATTTTTGACATAAAAATGTTCTAACAATTTGAGACGTGTGCCAAAAAGAAAAAAACACAAAATATTTAGCACGGTTTTCGATTTTTAAATACAAATTCTAAAAATAAAACAAATAAAGATAAAAATGTATAATTAAGAGATTTTGAAATATGTTTTAGCACAGCAACAGATACTCACTCAAGATACCTAAAAAAACCAAACTCAATTAAAAAATTCCATATAAAAAGTTTTCAAAAAAAGTCTAGAATGTGGCAAATTTTGCTATTGTTTTTGCTCGCGAGTAGCGTATACGGCGCAGCGCAGCGTAGATTGGATCAGAGCAGCGATAACAGCAAAGAGAGCGACGATGATTACTACAACGATAGCGAGAATGATGATAATAACGAAAGAGATGCGCTTAAAATCGACATCGATATCGACTATGCTAGGCAAAAGTTAATGCCTAGCTACTTGTCATATCGATCAGCATACTCACCGACCACGCCGCCTTACGCACATTTGCGACGCGTGCCACGGCACCCATGGGAGTCGCAGCATTCGGCCAGCGATAATCATCTGGATGCCGCCGTTGATGAGGTGAGTAGAGCAAATAGCTTCGAAGAATCCATAAAAAAAATCATCACGCCTATCTCTCTTTTTTAACGCCTCCCTCTTTGTGAGTGTGTGTGTGTGTGTGTGTGTTTGTGAGTGGGTGTTTGCCTTGTAGGTCGCTAAATATTTGCCAGAGCTCAAGACTAGCCAGACGTTGCGTGAGTCGCTATTAAAATCTTTTCATTGCGCCTCAAGTGCATATTTCTGAGAAGCGATAAGAATTTCGATTTATATGCCAATGGAATTCTGTATATTGACAATTGTATTAATCTCTATGTCAATATGTATGTCTAATCTCCGGGCTGATGAGTGGTTAGTTAGCTAAGTGAGAGTAATGGAGAAAAATATATATTCATTGAAGATATGTATATATATGTGTGTATCACATCATATATATAAGTATATAAAAAATTTTGATAAAGATTACAATTGAAATATAATCGATTTTCTATAAAAAAAAATCTATACATTTATGGAATGCATATTTGAAATCCTCTTTAATATCTATTTTGAACTGCTTATCAATTATAATATAATATATATGTAAATCAGGGTTATTCGGTCTAAAGATACTTTTCTATCTCATAGATATTTTTTAAAAAATTCCATATTTCTGGCCAAGAGAATAGAGTTACTTAAAGTCGTATAAATATTATATAACATATATAAATTTATTGAACAACCCACTGGAGGCATCTGTCTCTCAGCGATCTGTGTGTTAGAAGTGAATGCCTCACCTTGAACCTCAGCGACAAGCGCGAGTGAGCGAATAAGTGATACGAGTGCAGCTAACCCTGAGCCTACGACAAAGAGACAGAGGGAACGAATCGTTGTTGATCTTAAGCAGAGATTCCAATAGCCCACCCAGCAGTTGAGGCAGTTACTCAATGCTGCAATTATGAAACGTGTTGCGGCAGCAGCACCAGCAACAAAAAGCAGAAGCAGCCAATTTGGTTAACAAGCCAATTTGGCTCGAATGCAGCTCATAAATTGCTCGAACCTCGATCCTCAATCGGTTTCACTTTCTGGCCTGTAATTGGGCCAAGCGGCCCGACAAAGCAACAGAGAGAGAGAGAACACGGACTCGAATCTGAACCTCAACTTCAAGTTGAGACTAAGGCTTTGAACCTGACTCTTTGTCGCTCGATCGATGACCATTTAAGGCGACGATCTTCACTTTCCGTTATGCTATGCCCTTAATTGACTTGATTGACTTGCACTTGATTGACATGCTGTAAGAGTTGTCGCCTTTTCACACATGCTGCCAGGCCAACAAAACGATCAGCTATGATCGCCACTTAAATAATTGACCAGTTCCTCGCGTAAACAGGGGCTTCAATTGATTATTAACTAAAAGTTAGTTGATGAAAAGTACACATTAATCAAATATTCAATTTAATTAGTTTTATACATATTTTCATATTTATGTTATTGACAGTTGCAAAAAGCTTGAACTTTTCTTTGACCCTCAACAATTATTCATCTCAATTCGAAGAATATATTTGGCTAATGCATATTTATGAATATATATATATAGCATGGGTATATAACTAATTATGTAACTATATAAATATAGTTATTCAGAATAATGAGCTTAGAAATATATAATATATATTTGAAAAGTAAATCTAGTTGGAAAATATTAGCTCTTACGACGCTAACCAAAATTTTAATATCGTAAGAAATTATTTTATGCCCATTTTTACCTAGATATATTAAAGCTTAATAATTTGTTTATTTTTTTTAAACCTACCATGATTATTTAGCTTAAAATAAATTTAAAAAAAAGCAAACAAGATAAAATCAGCAAAAATAATGATATTCAAAAATTGTATTATAAACCCATTCAATTTTATGATTCGCAAAAAAATATTTTTATAAATGTCATAAATGATATTTTCTTTGCAACTTCCAAAATATTTAAGTGCCAGCTTTGAGCACCAAATTTTAATTATATTTAAACAATGAAAAATAAATTTCTTACAAAAATGTTTTATGATATTTTTATATCGTGACTCAGATATTGGGAAAACAACTAAATATTAATATTTTAAATGACGACTTCAAGCTCTCTTAATGAAAACGTTTTTGTACTTGTTTGTTTCTGACCCCAATAGACCCCAATTGCAATACTAAATTATGCTTTTTTTTTTACTTTTAAATATATTATAAGAGAAGCTTACTCAGAGTCTCAATGCTAAGTCTATCTTTCTTATCAGTGAACCCGGGGATTTTTCAGCGAAACAAATTATGAGTGGCATCAGCGTCTAAATGGGAGACGAAATATATATGTATTCGTATGTCGAGCAGCTTATCACTTTACTCCTCCTATCTCCTGGCTGCCCTATCACTAATGTTAAGTTACTCTCAAGGCCAAGCAGCTATATTAAGCCGTAGCATAAAGTCAAATGCAGTCGAGTGGCATTAAAAGCTTATGAGTGCACCTGTCAGCAGCGGGGCTTCACCCCTCCCCCTCCACCCACTATAGCCAGCTTTGCTTGAGCTCCTTTGACTGCTGACCTTTAGCAGGAATTTAATATCGAGTCGTCGTCGTAGTCGCTGTCCTTGTTGTTGTTGGCTGTTGCAATGTCCTCGTTGGCATTCAATCAGAGCACTTGTTTCGTTCTGCCTGCATTATTATTGCTGTTTACTTTGCACGCATTCCGTTTGCGTAGCAGAGTGCAATAAGAAACAATTCGAAAATACGTTAGCAGAGAGTGCATGACTTTTAGTTACCCAACAGAAGCACGCTTTGATTATTTATATAAATATCAATTTTAGCTAAAAATAATTTTTATGAACTTAAAAGCTGAGCAATAATTCCTATTTGCATATGACAAATCAATACATATATAAGCATGATCCTTGTGTAACTTGATCTGGGTGAATATGCGTATTTAGTACTATAGAAATTATAAACTGTCCATATACCAAATTATTCAAATTCCTGAGATACAAATAGATAAAATGTTCATCAGTTCCGCCAAGTCCCTGTAAAGCCATCTCTACTGTCACATTCTACAGAGTATGCTGATAAAAATGAACGAAATGTGTAATAAAACCTTTTTAAATATTCCGCAATAAATATTCGCAACGAAAGCAATAAAAATTCATTTCGCAATTCCTTGTACAGCCCATCGGAACTTTTATTATAACTTGGACAGTCAAGGGCGCCATTAGTCAAAGGGTTATTCAGTAGTTGCTTTATAGGTCACACACAGCTATCTGTGCTGTATTTGCCAAAGCAGCTTATCAGCAAGTCGCTTTTAGAGCCCCCCAAAGCACGTAATCTAATTCTGATTCCAATTCCAATTCAAAAATGCTTCCCCAGTGATTCAGTTACAATACATACACAGCTTCCAATGCAGGTTTAATTTATGCATAATTAATTAGACTTGTTAAATCAATATGAAGGCAGTTGCTTCACTGATCGTTGCATCAAATTGTAAATATTATTTAGCTTCGATAAACCAACAGACTGGCATGCACAATCGAATATATATATTTAAGTAAGATGAATTTGAACTGATATATACTTTGTATAGAGAGATGAAGAGGAAACTTTCTGAATGATATAAAGAGCGTGAAATAGAGATATTTATTTGTATAACATTTGCTTATATTTAATTCAAATTAATTAGAATCTATTAATAGAATAGAACATTTTCTAATAAAACATTTTCATTTGGTTCATTTTATATTAAATACATTTCAATATACCATAAAAGACATGTGTCCAGATATATAAAGAGAAGACTGTATAAATTAATAGATAAATAAAAAAAATACAATAAAATAATAAAATAATATTTTTATTTATATTAAAATTTTTTTTAATTTAAATATAAATATTTATTTAAATTACAAATTTTTTAAATGATAAAATCAATAAACTTTTATTTAAGTATTATATATTTTGTATTAATATTTAATATATTTCTATATCTTTAAATTTATCAAAAAGTATAAAAAAATATAAAAGAAAAAATATTTAATATTAATTCATTATACCAATAATTAATATTTATATATTTTTCAATATCTTTTTATTTTTTGTTCAATAATTCAATAAAAGTTATGTAAGATAAATAATCAATATAAAGTCGGACACTCCAGAGTTGCATTTGGCAAATGGCATCGATTGCGGCATCGATTTGTGATCTGGCTGTCCAATTCTAAGCGGAAGACCTCCGTCTTTAGACACTAATTGTAAGCTCTTAAGCTGGGCCCCAATGTTGCGCCACTTGCTACTCCTCCTTCTCCATCTATTCGTCCAGCTTCGCCTCTGTGGGCAATCTTTAAAGTATTACCTTGATTTATTGGCATTATTTATTTACTATTGCGATAGGCGAACGCTGTCCATAAGGCGCACTAATGACAGCCCAATCGGCTTATGACATAATGGATATATATATATATGAATTTATTTATATATATATACATAGATATGCATATATGTGTATGTATATCTTGATTTATAGACCAGGCCGAAAATGCGGAAGCCTAAAAAATGATATGGCAAATCTATAAAATTTTCTTCACGCTCTCAGACTCTCCCTCCCCTCTTTGTCTATGTGCTTTAATGAACGAGGAAAATTCAACAACTAAATAATAAATATTAAAACACTAAAAAAAGAAAAGCGAAATAGGGGAAGGGGCATGGCAAGGGGAGAAAAAAACTGTCGCACTATAAATTAAATTTGTTTGACTTTGAAAGTTGTTCGGCACTTGGGAAATATATTTTCTTTGATATTTTTTTAGTGTTCCTAATATAGTGGCCTGAAGTATTTCATTTTGTTTATTTCAGCCGCTTTTTTGATTGATAGGCAACTTGTTGGCCTTTCAAACTGGCCAAGAGTCGCGCAATTAAAAGCGCCCAGAAACAAAGCAAAACTTGAATCAAGAAATCGGTACTCGAATGCTCTTTCATTGCGTAAAAAGTGAAGGTGTATATATAGATAATATTATAATATATAATTCATTAC